TACTACTACTACTACTACTACTACTACTACTACTACTACGAGTACGACTACGACTACGACTACGACTACGACTACGACTACGACTACGACTACGACTACGACTACGACTACGACTACAACTACGACGACGACGACGACGACGACGACGACGACGACTACTACTACTACTACTCCTACTACTCATCGCCCCTCCTCCTACTCCTCTTCCTCGTCCGCCTCCTCCTCCTCCTTTTTGTTCCTTCTCCTCCTCCACCTCCTCCTCGCTCCTCGCTCCTCGCTCGCTGCTGCTCCTCTTCCTCCTCCTGCTCCTCCTCATCTTTGTCCTCCTCCTCCTTCTCCTCCTCCTCCTCCTCCCACTTCTCTCGTTCCTCCTCCTCCTCCTCCTCATACTCCTCTTCCTCCTCCTCCTCCTCCTCCTCATCTTCCTCTCCTTCCTCCTTCTCCTCCTCGTCTTCTCTTCCATTCTCCCCCCGCTTCTGTTCCTTCTCCTCCTCCGCCTCCCCTCCTCGCTCCCTCGCTCCTCTCCTCCTCCTCCCTTCCCATCGCTTCCTCCCTCATCAACATCATCCTTTGAATATTCTTCATGTCTCCTCCAAAACCTCCTCTCCGTCCACCTCTCCCAGTTCCTCTTCATCCTCCTCCTCTCTCCTCCTCTCTCCTCCTCCTCTTTCCTCTTCCTCTTTTCCTCCTCCTCCTCCTATCGCTCCTCCTCATCCTCTCTCTCCCTCCTTCCTCCTCCTCCTCCTCCTCCTCCTCCTCCTCCCAGTTCTCTCGCTCCTCCTCCTCCTCCTCCTCCTTCTTCCCCTTTTCCTCCTCCCTTTCCCCCTCCTCTTCGCTTCTTTGTCTTCTCCTCCTCCTCGCTTCTCGCTCCTTCTCCTTTTTCTCCTCCTCCTCCTCTTCCACCTTCTCCTCCCTCCACCTCCTCCTCAGCCATCATCATCATCCTCATCGCCCTCCTCCTCCCAATTCTCTCGCTTCTCCTCCCTCCTCCCTCCCTCCTCCTCCTCCTCCTCCTCCTCCTCCTCCCCTTCTCCTCCTCCTCCTCCTCCCTCCTCCTTTCTCTCCTCCTCCACCTCCCTCCTCCTCCTCCCGTCCTCCTCCTCCTCCTCCTCCTCCTCCTCCTCCCCGTGCTCGCCCCCTCTTGCGGACGGGGGGTGGGGTCGAACCTCGCGATCATCCTGGTCTGGGCTCTGGGCGCCGCTTCCAGGAGCAGCAGAAGAGGCGCATGTGGTGCGTCATACAGCACCACAGGCCCGTCATGTACGAGAGGGCGCTGAGGTCCGCGTGAGAGCCAGCCGACAGGCACAGCGACGAGCCCAGGCCCCCGACGTCCTGACATCTTCGACGTCGCCCGAGTTTCGGCCTCCCCGGGCCTCGCCTCGGGCCTCGGGGCCGTCAGAACGCGATCCGCACTGAGCAAAGCCCGCCGCGGGGGAGAGGCCGCGAGCCGCGGAAGCCGCATGAACGAGAAGATGTCGGTGGCCGTCCGAGGGCCTGAGCGGCGAGGCAGCGCCGTGGGGCCGGCTTGCGACCCCGCTTCGCTGGCACCGCTTCTCTTTTTTCTTTCCGCCCCGCTGCCCCCGAGTTCGGGCCTTCGGGGGGGGGTAGGTTTGCTACCCCCGCCGTGGGGAGGCGCGCAGCGCGTGGGGCAAGTAGTCTTTCGGTCGCCGGGCGGCGTCGCTGCTCGATGGGTGCCCGCCCGCGCGCGAGAACGATGCCGGGAGGCCCACGCCTCTCCGGGGGCAGAGAGGGGGGGCAGAGGTGTTACGGCGCACGCTCTTCACGGATGCCTGGGCTCCGCTGGTTTCGGAAGCCTCCGAGGCCCACGCCCCTCCGGGCAGAGAGGGGGGGCAGAGGTGTTACGGCACACATTACCAGCCTCGAACGTATCTCTATCCCTAAGATTGACACGCCAAAAGGCGATGACAGTCTTAGGGATCCGCCCTCCAAGAATAAGGGAATCCCTAAGATTGGCATCGTGATGAGGAGATGCCCAGCACAGGGATAGGGATATGTTCCAGGCTGGTAAACACGCTCTTCGCGAATTCCTGGGTGCAGCTGGTTTCGGAAGCCTCCGAGGCGACGGCGCCAGGGGAGGGGGAAGCGGGCAGCAGCGCAAGGGTCACGGGGGAGCGGGGCTGGTGGCGAAGCCAGTGTGCAGCGGCATGCCCCCTCCCGATGGCGAGGTTGATCACAGTGGGCCACCGGGCCGTGGATGGGCAGGGCTGGCACGGGGAGGAGAGGGATCATGGGGGATGATGATGATGACGATGATGATGATGACGATGATGATGACGATGATGCTGATGCTGATGCTGCTGATGATGATGGTGATGGTGATTGCGATGATGATGCTGCTGATGATTATGCTGGTGATGGTTATGGTGGTGGTGAGGGTGATGGCGATGATGAGGATGACGATGATGATAACGACGATGACGATGGCGATGATGATGATGATGCTGATGATGATGATGCTGATGATGATGCTGATGATGCTGCTGATGATGATCGCGATGATGACCATGCTGACGATGATGAAAGTGATGATGCTGATGATGATTGTGATGATGATGACGATGATGATGGTGATGCTGATGACGATGATGATGATAGTGTTGATGGTGATGATTGTGGTGGGGACAATGACGATGCTTCTGTTGATGATGATTATGATGATGGTGGTGGTGATGCTGATGCTGATGATGCTTATGACGATGATGATGTTAATGTTGTTGATTGTGGTGGTGCTGATGGTGGTGATGCTGCTGATGATGCTGATGATGATGCTAGTGGTGGTGATGATGATGATGATGGCTGGTAGTGATGATGATACTGGTGAAGATGAGGAGGAGGATGAGGCTGAGGCTGAGTAGGATGAGGATTAGGATGGGGATGGTGATGAGGGGAATGGGGATTGGGATGGGGATAGCGATGCTGATGCTGATGATATGATGCTGCTGATGATGATGACGATGGTGATGATGATGATGTTGGTGATGAGTGTGTGTTGTTTCGTTGTTGTTATGCTGATGGGGGATGATTAGAATGATGCGGGTGAAGTTGATTACGATGCTACTGGTGATGATGATGATGTTGATGATGATTATAATGATAGTAATGCTGATGGTGAGGCGATGTTGATGTTACTGATGATTATGATGATGAAGATGCTAATGCTTATGACGATGTTGATGCTGCTGCTGATGATGAGGTTGACGATGCTGATGCTGATGCTGATGCTGATGCTGATGATGAGGATGATGATCATGATGGTTGTGATGGTAATGATGGTTGTGGTGATGCTGACGGTGCTGGTGCTGGTGCTGGTAATGTTAATGGGGATGGTGATATTGTTGTTAATGCTGCTGCTGATGATGATGATGACGGGGTGATGATGGTGGTGGTGGCAGGGAGGAGGATGAGGAGGAGCAGGACGACGAAGAACCAGAGGCTCCCATGCACCGCTCGCAGTGGTGCACGTAGTACAGCAGCGCGAGCAAGAGGACGATCCATGCGAAGACTCAGGGGGAATAGGCCAGAGCTACAGTTGGTGCCTCCCTCGCTAATCGCACATGTTGTTTGTTTTTGTTTTGGGATTCTGTCGCTGGCCCCTGCCTGTGTGCATGGCTGCTGGATGCCCAGATTTCTCTTGGGGTCTTACGCCTTCGGCCGATTGTCCTCTCACTGACCATCCGAACTTCGGACTCGCTTCTCCTAGTGTCTGTGCGTGCGTGTGAGTGTGTGTGTGTGTGTGTTGTGTTTGTTTCCAGTGGCCCGGCTTCCTCTATCCCTCTCGCGCCTGGGCTCCTCCTCTTCCTCCGTGCATTGCGGCCTGAATTTGCATGCAGCGTCTCCCCATGCTGCCTTTCCGCCGGAGCAGTCGCCTTCTGCCCCGCTGCTGGCGCAGAGAGCGTGGGCGTGGGTCCTCCGCTCCTCCCCTCGCTCCTCCTTCGCTTCCCCTTCCCCCCTGCCTTGGCACGCTCACATCGAGGAGGAGGAGGAGGAGGAGTAGGAGGAGGAGGAGGAGGAGAAGGAGGAGGAGGGGGAGGAGGAGGAGGAGGAGGAGGAGGAGGAGGAGGGCCACGTCGTGTCCCCCCAGGCCACAGTCCCCCGCGTGAGCTTGCCTGCGACGGGTCGGCTCGCGCAGCGTCCCTGGTCGACCTGGCGATCGCCTGCTTGTCACGCCACGTTAGCTGTCACGCCGTCGTGAGGCTCCGTGGCCGCGCGCTCCGCGCGCTGGCTCCTCCTCCTCCTCCTCCTCCCTCCTCCTCCTCCTCCTCCTCCTCCTCCTCCTCTCCCCCTCCTCCTCCCCCCCCTCCTCCTCCATCCCTCCTCCTCCTCCTCCTCCTCCTCCTCCTCCTCCTCGGCAACGCCCCGACTGTAGGGTTACCCTTGTGTCCCTGCCTCTGCGGCCCGTCTCCTGGGGGGGGGAGCAGTGGGGGTGACAAGTGGGGCGTTCCAGCAGGGGCTCGGCGACAGATAGTTCTGCATTCGCCCGATGCGTCGCCTTCCTCGTCCGTGGTGCGGGATAGCCCCCTTGGAGGGCCAGCGAGCTCTCCCTCTTACCGCTATGCTGGACCTTTCTTTCTTTTAAAAAAGGGGGCGCTCCGGACAGGGCCTCGCCTCCAGCCCGCGTCGCCTTCGGCGGAAGCTGGGCAAGAGGCCAGCGGGAGCCGGCGAGCGCAGCGAGGCGGCGGGGCCGCCAGCGGAAACGGGTGAAAGGAGGCGGAGGAGGAGGAGGAGGAGGAGGAGGAGGAGGAGGAAGAGGAGGAGGAGGAGGAGGAGGAGGGAGGAGGGGGAGGGGAGGAGGAGGAGGAGGAGGAGGAGGAGGAGGAGGGAGGAGGAAGGAGATGGCGGAGGTAAAACACGAGACGCCAAGATGTGTCGGTTCGGGGCCACCGCAGCTGGCCGCCAGGTCGCCCGGAGGGGCCTCCCGTCGATCTGCTATCACAGAGCGATGCCCCCTTGGACGACGCCCTGTAGTTAGGCAGGAGGAGGAGGAGGAGGAGGAGGAGGAGGAGGAGGGAGGAGGGGGAAAAGGAGGAGGCGGAGGGGGAAGAGACGGGTAGACGATGGGGGGAGAAGGGGACGAGGAGGACGAGAGGGAAGAGGAGATAAGAGGAGAAGAAGGAGGAGGGAGAGGAGCAGAAAGAGGGTGAAGTGAAGGACGACGCGCGAAGGGGTGGACTAGGAGAAGGAGCAGCATCAGCAGGTAGAGGATAGGAAGAAACATAATGAGGATGAGGCGGAGGGAGGAATCTATAAGAGCCACTTAGAGCGTATTGGATCCCCTCATGCGCCTCGGATTCCCATCCCTTTCTCCTCCTCCCTCTCCTCCTCCTCCTCCCTCCTCCCCTCCTCCTCCTCTCCCTCCTCCTCCTCCTCCTCTTCCTCTTCCTCTTCCTCTTCCTCCTCCTCCTCCTCCTCCTCCTCCTCTTCCTCCTCCTCCTCCTCCTCCTCCTCCTCCTCCTCTTCCTCCTCCTCCTGCGCTCCTCTGCCCTGCCCTCCCGTCCCCCTCCTCTCCCCCATCCTCCTCGCTTCTGCTCCTCCAGCGGGCGCGCGCGGGTCTCTCTCGCCGCCCGAGCACAGTGATGATCGGGAGCCGATCCCCCGCCGCCCCCCGCGCAGGGCGGCTCCCCCAGAGGTGGCTGGCTGCCTGGGTCCGCGGCCCCCCGGCCAGGGCCCGACCCGCGCGCGGGTGCATTGGGCCAGGGGCACTGGGCCTGGCCCAGCGCCTAGCTGCCGCCCGCGGTCACCGGCAGCAGCGCTCCCAGCGCCGCCGCTGGCGGTCGCGCCCCTCCCCGCGGCGCGGCGCCCGCCGCCCGGCGGGCGCGCCGCGGCTCCGCGCGCCCCGCTCGCCGGCCGCCCCCGGCAGCTGCTGCGCGGCGCCCGCGGCCCGGCCAGCGCAGCCCAACGCCCCCAGCGAGTGCCCGGCTCGGTCTGGTGGGGCAGGCCGGCGCGCCGGCGGCCAGGCAGGCTGCGCGGCGCGCGGCGGCTCAGAGCAGACCCTGGCCGGGGCTCTGCGCCTGGCGCCGGCGGCCCAGCCTTGCGCCTGCGTCGCCGCGCCAGGACACCGCGTCCGCGGCGTTGCGCTGCAGTCGCCGGATGGCCGCCGTTCGCTTCGTTTGCCGTGCGGGCGCCAGCAACCGCGTCAAGGCCAGCGCCTCCTCGCCCGCGCGGCCGTGCTCCTCCGCCACGAAGGGAACCACGGCCACTGCGGGTTAGCGAGCTCCTCCTCCTCCTCCTCCTCCTCCTCCTCCTCCTCCTCCTCCTC